AACTGTATCTAGCTAGATAAGATGAGTACACTGAATTAGATAAGATGAGAACACTGAGTTAATCGCCCATTACTGCTGCTGTCCATTAAACTCTGAATTAGTCGCCCATTACTGCTGCTGTCCATCACTGCTGCTGTTAGCGGCTGTAAAAGCATCCACAACACAGTTTTACCTAAATTTATTTTTGAATCTACTTCAATAAAACAGTTTTTGATGTTTTCTGCTGGTTCTTTCTTTCTTTGCCTATTTATCTAGAAATTGTACTCAAGTCTTATGTTGGTTTCTCTTTCTATATGTTCTTATTGTAATCGTATATGCACACACAGATTAGACATGGAGAAGCTGTTGGAATAATTGGGCCTTCTGGCACTGGGAAATCTACGGTTCTAAAGATTATAGCAGGACTGCTTGCTCCTGACAAGGTAACCTTTTGAGGGAGTTAGGGCTAAAGTGTCCTTGGTTAGCATTTGAAAGGTGAAGAATTCTCTTTGCAACAATGTGTTCTTATTTAATATATCTGACTTATTGATCAACTTTGCTAATCCTCTCTTTTCTTTTATTGCAATGCATGCTCTTATTTTTTATTCTTTAACTTGAATTAGAACTATCATAACACCCAAACGACTACAAACACTGATGCAGAAGATGTTGCTAGTATTTTGGTAGCTAGTAATGATATGAAGGCAGTAGGAAGACTTAAACATGTATGAAGTTATACTTGTTTCAACGTAACTTATTAAATTTTAAACATGTATGAAGTTATACTTGTTTCAACGTAACTTATTAAATTTTAGAACATAATTTATTAAACTGAAACTGTAAGAAGTTATAAAGTTGTGCTTATTTATTAAGCTGAAACCTAGGTGATGGATTTTGATTAAGAAAGTTCTACATCCCATGGTAATTCCTTAATTTTTACATAGCATAATCGACATCTATACTGAAAAAGGCAATGATATTAACAACCATGCCAAAGCATCGGAAAACTTCAAATCTATAAGAGAATGGCATATATTACTTTCAATATCTGATGTAGGGGTCTTACTAATTTAAGATATGGTGGTGGGATTTGTGAGGTGAATGAGGGGCTGTGGGCGATGAGAGATGAAGAATATGGATGGAAAAGTAAGTAGAATGCTTGCTTCCCACCAAAGAATAAGGAATTAGAAAGAAAGAAGTGACTTTGTGAAGGAAAGAGTGAAGAGAGGAAAGGAGAAAGTGAAAATGGAGGAAGGGAGGTTTCAGCAGACTGAGGTTCGAAGAAGATCTCTAAGGGTGGAAGCAAAGCAGTTCCTATTTGAAAGTTACAGGGTGAAAGGGAAGAAAGCTTTAAAAATCAGAGAAATTAATATGGCCATGGTGTTGCTGGTAGGGGAAGAAGCATTGGTGTGGTTTCAGACTTTCATGGAAGATGCTGTTCAGGTGAGTAGGAATCTGAATACAAAGATTCAATTGAGATTAATGGCAGGAGGTATATAGCAGAAAGAAGGGAGAATCCTAAAGGAAGGTACGTGGTGCTTATGGAATTTTTTGGGGAAGGAAAAAAGCAGATGGTCTGCTTCCCTGAAGGTAAGAAGTGGAATGGCTGGGAAGAAGTTTCAGGGATTTTGAAGGACTTACATTACATGAGAGGAAGCTAGAGAAGAAAGTAGAAGGGAGCTAGTAGAAGAAACACAGGGGGTTTATGGAGACTCTACAGTGAGGGAGCAGAAGGAGCTGCCAGAAGAGGTAACAGAAATGCAGCTCATGGCTCAAGTAGCAAAGGACTGTTGAATGGTTTGCAACATGCACAAAAATGACTGGGAGAAGAAATTTATTCTTACCTTAACAGCCCCACCAAAGGACTGGAGGAGAATTTCTGAAGAGTTACTAAAGAAGCTGAAGTTAAACAGTACTATTATTTTAACCCCCTTTGAAAAGTGTAAGGCCCTTCTAGAGTTAGTAGAAGAGAAAATGGAACTCCAGGCTATATGTTGCCAATTGGAGTCAGCCTCTGTGACTTTTTCAAAATGGACTCCTCATTCTAACTCTAAGGATCTGCATGTGAGGGACAAAATAAATGTTCGAATCTTGGGGCTACCATTTCACGTATGGATTTCAGATGTTTTTGTCTCAATAGCAAATCTGTGCAAAGCAAGGTTAGAGGGCTTTTTTGTTAAAGACCTCCATTCAGCTGCAGTATGTTTGAGTAATGTAAACTTGGAAGATATCCCACGTTCAGTAAAGGTACTGGTTGATGGAATCTTTTACTTAGCCTGGCTAGTTACAGCCATTGAAGCTGAGCTTTGGAGGAAGGGAAGAAGGGAAGAAGATGAGAAGGTAGAAGAAGAATGGTTACGTGGAAGAAGTCAAGTGGATGCAGGAAAGGAGAAAGGAAATTACACTGAAATGGCAAAGCAAAGTCTGGGGAGAGGAAAAGGTGAACTAAAAGAGGAAGAAGTTTATAAGGCAAGGAAAGAAAGGGATGAGACACATGGCTGGTCTTATGCTGAGGCGCTGACCAATGGATCTCGACATGTGAAACAATCCCAAACTCAAATTTCAAAAGAAGGGGTGGGTCAGCCAGCTGGTGTATCGGATTTGAACAGAACTGAACCATTAGGGTCAAAGGTTAATAAGCCATCACATGGCACTTTAAGTAATCATGTGATGGGTAATAAGAAAAATGGGCCTGGGCTTTTGAAACATAGGCTGGGTACCTTGAAACATAATTTGGGCCCAGCTGTTGGGCCTCAAAGGCTTAGTTGTCAAGGCGACGCCTAGGTGACTAGGCGATTTTTAGAAGTCGCCTCGCCCAATGCCTAGGTGTTTTTGTATTAGGCGCAAGGAAAAGGAGTGTGATAAAAGACCTAATAAAAAGAGAGGATCCTGATGTGGTAACGCTGCAAGAGACCAAATTAACAGAATTGGATCGAACGTTGATCAGTAGTTTGTGGAGATCGAGAGGAATAAGATGGGTTGAGGCTCCATCTTGGGGAGCTTCAGGGGGTATAGTGATCTTGTGGAAGGATGAAGTGCTTGAAGCAATGGAAGAATTGATAGGTAGGTATACCATATCATTAAAATTCAAGAGCGTGGAGGATTGATTCAATTCGGTATTAACTAATGTCTATGGACCAATCTTTGGGTGGGCACTCAACCCCTCAAAGATTGTTTCCCCTCGCTCTATTCCATTTCCCTTCACAAACATGAGCCAATTGCAACTTTTCTCCCGAGCCCGTTAAACCCCTTATCTTTAAACTGGGACTTTGGGTTTCGTAGAGGGTTAAGGGATGGTGAGTCGAGTTGTGTTATTGAGCTAATTCATTTACT